TATCATACTTGCCAACCTTGAGACCTCAGAACTTGGGAGCATTTCAAAACCACCGCGGGGGGGGGTGTTAGTGGATCGCCGGAGCTGTATTAGATTAACATCTACACATGCTTATTGTAGTTGTAAGTGCACTGTCTTGCAGCCTGTAGCACCATCCTTGATGGAGCATATGTGTGGGCTGGACCTGTATTTTTCAGGAAAGGAGTGAGCAGAGGGTCGAGTTGTCGATTCTTGTTCTGTTTTCTGTGACTATCGGCTCACCCTCTCAGACTTTCAGTTGCGCGCGCTACTAAAGAGACGCGCTACCACGGAAACCAAACAATGGTGTAGCTGTATTAAAGTCTGAGTGGAAACAGTCCTGAGTAAATCTGATTTTGTCAGAAATCGGGAGAAATGCGGGAGAAATATGACTCCGGGAGGAAACCGGGAGAGGGCAAAATCGGGAGGGTTGGCAAGTATGCCTCATATCCCTCTATTTCACTTCCTGTTTCAAAAGTGCTGATTTTGTGTATAAAGCTTTAAAAAAATAAAGATTGATACAAAATAAAAAAGGAGGGGTTCATGCGGGACCCGGCAGCTACCGTCTAAACTAAATACTGCGGTGATGAAACGCCATATCATGGATTATCAAGGATTCTTTCTGAAACAGTCTGGAGCTCAAAGGCTTTCTCTCTTGCCGGTTATACCACAAGGTGAGTTCCTTTTTATTTCCTGCTTCTTCACACACATGCTCTCCAGTACAGGTTAGCTCTGAGTGTCAGTCGTGTCTTTTCGGCCGTGCCGACACCTTCCGCACCCGATTAAAGGCAAAATAAATCACTCTGATTGGCTGTTCAGCTTAGCGAATCAGTGCATGAGAAGCGAAACGGAAGTGAAGAAGGCACACATAGACGGCTATTATTTTTCATTTTCCAGTACCGCACTAAACATGTTTTCGATTATAAGTCGTTATGTGAAACAGTCTGTGAAACAGTCTGTGATGGACGAGAGTGAAAATGGAATGCACGCTATTTGTTGATTGTATATATCACGCAGTCTGTCTTCCGGTTGCCTCTTTTGAATTAAGAATACACACTACCGCCGCTTGCTGGTAAGGAGAGTTATTGCCACTCACGCATGCGCATTGCGTACGTACTACTTGGCCATCGGCTGAAGTCTTTGCGGTGTTTTCAAGTGCGACTTTTTGGCCAGGACGCAGGAGACGTGAGGCGACACAACAATCGGGTCCGTCGGGACGTGTTCTTTGGTGTCGGTTTGGCGTGTCAGGGCCTTAAGACGTACTAATGGTGTTCTTTCACCATCAAATACAGTTTTTTTTGTATTGGTCTTTTTGATTTAGTGGATCACTTACTTCTCAAACATGAGTTTCATCCATGTGGCCTCTCTCAAAATGCATAAATTGGTTTGAAATCTTATTTACAAAATGAGTCTGATTTATGTGTTTATTAAAAGGTGTACCCCACGGCTTAATACTTTGTCCACTTCTTTTATATTTTTCATTAATAATCTTCCTGAGATCTGTTCTGTTCCTCTGTTCAATTAAATGCAGATAATACTTGTTTACTTTTCAGAACATCATTTCATGCAAATCCAAACTGCTCTTTAGTTGGATTTTAATAGTTGACTAAGCAAGCTCTTATTAAAAAACTGCTCAATGAAACAACATATTTTGTAATGGTCTTTGGTATAGGACAGAGCCTAAAAACTCAATCTTATCACACGTTGTACACATACCTTGGTTTATTGCAACATTTAATTAGAGTGTTATCTCAATCTCAAAACTGTTGTACACTTAGTGTCTAAAAGAGACTTGCTTTAAAATTGTAGGTGTTCTTGAACGTTCTTTAAGTACGCATCACTGTACAATATTTCCCTTATATGGCCTCTACTCAACATAATAAGACACATTCAACTGATATTTAACACTCAATATTCCCTATAACCTTCAACAGCTTTTGGTATATTCCACAATACATCATTTCAAGCATTCTACAAAATACAATTTGGTCCATTCCTGTGAATTCATGTTTAAGGCTCCTTTGAAGTCGAACAACTTGACATGCAATAGTTAACATTATTTAACATATTTTAAATGGGTTGATTCTATTTAAGTTAAATTGTACATGTTTCAGATGTTGCAATGCTCTTTACATGTTTATTATCTATCATTTATTGTTAAACCAAGGGGTTTATCCTAATGAACTTAATAAAGTTGTTAAATTGCTGTTTGCTGTCAGACTATCCACCATTACTTCTCTTCTAAACAAAACACTTGCAACAGAATGCAAACACTTTACCTTTGTGATTATTTCATTCAACACGCTTAGAACTCACCCTGTCGATTCCCTTATAATGCTACAACCAACCATCGTGTGTTGAAACCTGAAGAAGAGGGCTCATTTCTGCTAGCTGTTAGCTATTTAGCAGCCATTGTTGGTTGCACTGAATTTCATTATGAGTAGTAGCAGAACAAATATATGTTCAAGTCAGTCTGCTCTGATTGGCTTACAAAAATAATTGCGAATGTAGTTCTCAGGCCGTGGGTGAAGAAAGTCAGACTTGGGGCAGTATATTTGAATGAGCCTGAATCTGATCCAAGTCAGAAGGGCTTGTAGAATCCCATGTTTTCTGACCGAGGCAGCCCGAAAAGAATTGACTGGGTTGTGTTATTTGATAGTTTGTGGGTTGTTGTGTACATACATGTCAGTGTCTGGTGTGCCTAAGTAGAGAAAAGGGCACTTAATAATGTCCCCTGTCCCCTTAAATGAAGCAGAGTCTTGACGTTCCCCATCGAGCATTACATACTTTGCCTTGCTGTTTCTTTTCTTGAATATTCTTTCTATTAAAAAGGATTGGGCAGACAATGATTAGACTTGGGGTCTTTGACGGCCATATACAGTATGTTTCTGGCAACATTTTGAAAACCACATTTTCCTTTGCATCGTTTGAAACCAGTTCATCTTTCTAGAACCCTTGTCAATAGTACATTTTTGCACCAATTAGCAATGTTGTAGGTTGTAGGTAGCTTGGAGTGTCTTATCTAGTAGTTCTTTTAATCTTCTCAGGATTATAAAACATTACTCAGCAACTTGGCTTCCCTCCATGCGTCTCCACTGTAAGCTTTGAACAGCTGACAGCCCCAGACAGGCACTGAGGGCTGGAGACACTGGAGGGTCTGGAGCTGACACAGGGACAAGAACCACCACAGGGGAGGAGACATAGATTCAGTCAAAAATAATAGAGCAAACATTTAAATGAACCTCAAGTCATACTATGTGCAGGGTTTGGAGGTTTCCTTTAATAATGTAATCTATTACAATAACTAGTTAACTGTAAAACATGTAATCAGTAACCCAATTTGAGTATCACAAATATAAAAGCAATGTATCCTGATTACTTTCCATTACTTTTGGATTACACCAATACGAAAAGCAATGCAAATAAATACAAGAGAAAATAAATATCTATGAGATGATTTTCTAATTAAGTGTATAATGAAAGACAACAGAACAATGTGACGTAAACAAAGAAGAAACCTAGATATTTAGGATAAAAAAGGCCCCTGTTTTAGTTTATACACATGAATTAAAAACAAACACAGACTTTTTCTTTAATCAATCAGGTGTCGACCAACTGCATTTATAAAAAGATATTTAAAACATAATAAAGAAGAACGAAGGAGGTCTAAATGAAAACAAAAATCATAATGCAGGCAGTACGTTTACCTATATACATCTTTATTTTAAAACCTATTGTAACATTGTAATCCTGCTAGAAATCCCTCTTTTCAAAAATGTACCTGTGATCTGGTGACGACTTTGATTATGTAACCCTAACGGCCCCCACACACGGCGGCGTGCGTTGACGCTTGCCGGCGGGCATGTCTGAAGCTAGACCAACAACCAATCACCTGAATCTCCCGCCCCGGACACACAAGCAGTGGTTTGATTGGCTGACGCTTCCGTCGAAGCTTCAAAAGTAGAACATTGCTCTACTTTTGAAGCGAGCAACGCTTTGCTCCCACAATGCAGTTCGGCGAAGCGTGACGTCACCCCATTCAAAGTCAATGTGCAGAAGCGTTGAAGCGTCAACGCACGCCGCCGTGTGTAGGGGCCGTAAGGGAATAAAGTTACCTTTTTTTGTATCCTGGTTATATATAACGGGATACCTGGTTACTTAATCCCGTTATATGTTATCAGTTACTCCCCAAACCTGCATATATGTAAGATATTAGTGTACCGTATGTAGAAAAATGAAATGTGTCAGATACATTGAGCTGGGATCCAGTATCTCTGTCACTCTTTTCCGTTCTGTAGTGACGCCTGGGTGTTTGAGGGTGGGGAAAATCTCAGCCGGCAAGAAAAAGGTCAAATAAGCTTTTGTCGGTACAGTACTTCTAATGGCTACTGCAACTGATCTCCAAATGAATTCATAGCAGAAGATTTTTGGAGCTCTTTTTGTATCTATTTTAGGTGCTAAAGTTCCTGAGCATAGTTTCTTAGACCAGAGTGGTAAAACCTAAATAGGTGGATAAAATAGGAAGAAAAACAGAGAGCAAAGAGAGCAGGCACAGAAGCAGAAGGTGGCATGCCTGCTGTTTGTCTGTGCTCATATGCCAATATCCACCTCAGAGACTTATAATGAACCATTGGAAGACATCCCAGAGTTTTGTTTGATGACTTCTGTCTCTCCCAGATTTTTTCTTTACTCCTGCTCATGTTTCAAAGGCGCCTCTGGATTTAGGAGCAGTGGAGGAGGAGAAACAGATAGAGAGGGTAGTTGGAAGTGAATAAGTGCAGGGAGGAGAGATCACCATTTTTTTTGAATTTTTAAATTACATAGTACATTGTTGCTGGTGTTTTGACTGGAGCCTCACCAGTTGATGGTGACAAGCTTAAACTTGAAAGTGCTTGAACGTTTTCCAATGGATCAAAGAATAACCAAACTTCGCCTGCTCTCCCTCCCCCTCCTCTTGGTGTCCGCCATGTTTTCTGTGGCAGTGGGCAACCATACAGGGAGGATCAAGGTGGTCTTCACACCCACCATCTGTAAACTAACCTGCATCGGAGGAAGATGTCACAACAACTGTGAGCTGGGAAACACCACCACCATCATCAGTGAGAACGGCCACGCCACCGACACCCTGACAGCACCCAACTTCAGAGTAGGTGAGTGATCCTGACACACACACACACACACACACACACACACACACACACACACACACACACACACACACACACACACACACACACACACACACACACACACACACACACACACACACACATAGAATAGACAGACAAACATAGAATCACAGTATTTATGTATAGTACATGGATATAACACATACAAGACATACCAATGGTAGTAGTGAGGGGGAGGTTAGAGTGTTTGTATTTCACCATAGGAACACATGCATGAACATGATCTTACATCAGCACATGCCTAACCACAACACATAATTATAGCTTCTTTGCTGTTTTATAGAAACGCATTACTTTACAAGAACATACACGATAGTTTACACCTGGAGTAAATACATTTAGTCCAATAATGACTTTTGTTTTTATTACAATGGAGGAGGCATGGTGCTGTGCTTCAATTTGTCCCATATACCATTCAAACCCCTGTCAGGTATGACAGCCTCCTCCATTCTTACAGGGTTCAGAAAGTGCTCCAGCCATCTAATTACATTTGAACAATTTACCTTTTTAACTTAGCAGTTTATTACATGAAATTACATTACATTACATTACATTGCATTTAGCTGACGCTTTTATCCAAAGCGACTTACAATAAGTACATTCGACCAGGAAGACACAACCTTGAAGAAAACAGAATCATATAAGTACATCAGGTTTCATAGAGCCAAACATTTCAAGTGCTACTCAACTGGCTTTAGATAAGCCAGTCCTTTATTAGTATATAAGTGCTTTGTTAATAGTTCTAACGCTCGAGGTGGAGTCGAAAGAGATGAGTTTTCAGTCTGCGCCGGAAGATGTGCAAGCTATCTGCCGTCCTGATGTCAATGGGGAGCTCATTCCACCATCTTGGAGCCAGGATAGCAAACCCACGTGTTTTTGCTGATGGGAACTTGGGTCCCCCTCGCAGCGAGGGTGCAGCGAGTCGTTTGGCTGATGCAGAGCGGAGTGCACGTGCTGGGGTGTACGGTTTAACCATGTCCTGGATGTAGGAAGGGCCAGATCCATTCGCAGCATGGTACGCAAGTACCAGTGTCTTGAAGTGGATTCTAGCAGTTACCGGAAGCCAGCGGAGGGAGCGGAGGAGCGGAGTGGTGTGGGAACATTTAGGAAGGTTGAAGACCAGACGAGCCGCTGCATTCTGGATGAGCTGCAGAGGTCGGATGGCACATGCAGGTAGACCAGCCAGGAGGGAGTTGCAGTAGTCTAGGCGTGAGATGACGAGAGCCTGGACCAGAACCTGCGTCGCTTTCTGAGTCAGCTGGGGACGTATCTTCCTGATGTTGTAAAGCGTGTATCTGCAGCAGCGGGTTGTAGCAGCGATGTTTGCAGTGAAGGACAGGTTGTTATCTAGGGTCACACCCAGATTCCTTGCAGTCTGAGTCGGGGAAACAACTGAGGTGCCGATGTTGATTGTTAGGTCAAGAGTGGGACAATCTTTTCCCGGAAGGAAGAGCAGCTCAGTCTTGTCAAGGTTGAGCTTGAGGTGGTGAGCAGACATCCACTGAGAGATGTCAGCTAGACAAGCAGAGATGCGTGCGACGACCTGGGTCTCTGAGCGGGGGAAGGACAGAATTAATTGTGTGTCGTCAGCGTAGCAGTGGTATGAAAAACCATGCAGGCTAATGACTGATTCGAGCGAGTTTGTGTTCAGGGAGAAGAGTTTATGAATGTAATCTTTTGCAAGTCACACTAGAGCTATACGTTTTGTGCTGATTTAAAATCAATTCCGTTGTGCAGGACGGCCAGCAAGTTTGTAGCTAGTCATTGAAGCTTTGTATATTTAGTCACATCCCAAAGAGCCTTGACAGCGGGACAAACCATAGAGAGAGAGCAGAGGTGCTCGCACATCCCTCCTGGTGAACATAGTTGAGCATTTATCAGCTAAAAGGCCAGTTTTAAATTAGAATAGAACATAGAATGAAAGTTAGAATCAGATTTATCAGATGGCCAGTTTGAATAAATACTAATAGTGCTCCCTTAGACTTGTAAAGTTGTAAAACATATTCACAAAGAGATAGCAGAGGTAGAGAAGAATACGCTATTTAAGTATGCCATGTATCCATCTTGGTAATTTTCAATTTCCTTAGCTTTAACCGGTTTCTTTCGAAAAATAATCTTTTTATGTACAGTACCAGTCAAAAGTTTGGAAACACCTTTTCATTCAATGGTTTATGTTTATTTGAATTTGTTTCTACTTTGTAGATTAATACTGAAGACATAAAAACTATGAAAGAACACATATGGAATTATCTAGTTAACAAAAAAGTGTTGAAAAATCCAGAATATGATTTATATTTGAGATTCTTCAGAGTAGCCCCCTTTTGCCTTGATGACAGCTTTGCACACTCTGGGCTTCTCTCAGTCAGCTTCATGAGGTCGTCACATGGAATGGTTTTCTATGAACACGTGTGCCTTGTCAAGAGTCCATTAGTGGAATGACTTGCCTTCTTAATGTGTCTGAGACTTTTCTGGTGTCACTGTTGGTGATTTATTCAGAATTCCAGGCATACTTAACCAGCATGGCTAACACAGCATTCTGCAGTAGCAAGCAAAATATAAATCATATTCTGGATTTTTTTACACTTTTTTGTTTACTACATAATTCTATGTGTGTTCTTTTAACTTTCCTTTTATGGGCTCAATTTGTGTCTTGGCCGTTTTCGTTGTGATCGCTAAATTCACGTAGTTTCCCCATGATTATAATATTATCACAGTTCCAAGCAAACGAGTGCTTTTGTTTTGAAATCACATCCGTGAGTTTGTCCCCGCACCTCGCTCCAATGACCATTAGACCATTTAGTAAGGTAAAAAGCAAAAACGCCTCTCAGACACTCTTCCGTTTACTTGTTTAATAAAGAAAAACAAATGGTCCGTAGATACACGGATTCATCTCCCCCTCCATCATGTTGATTTGAATCAGAAGTTCTGAACATCTGCCCGCCCCTCTCGACCTTCTGAGCCAATCACAGCGCAAGAATGACCTGCCTTCCGTTTCAACCATACTCCTTCCGTTTCCACTATACTTTCTCTCACACATACATACATTCTTCTCTTGCATACATACATTGTCTTCAGACATGCATATATTATTTATAATATTAAATGTAAACATTGAATGAATGTGCACGAGAGCAAAATGTATAAATGTATGAGTGAAAAATGTATAAGATGTGAGTGACAATGTATGAATGTTATGTGTGCATTGAAATATGATAATATGAGAGCAAAATGTATGAATGTGTGAGTGTAAATATATACGTGTGTGAGAGTGAAAATGTATGTATGTAAAAGGAGAATGTATGTGTGTGAGAGGACCAGTATGAATTACGGCCTGTACGGCCCCTCATAGTGCTGTGGTTTGGTCGAAAGCCTGACTGGAACACATCAAAACAGTTATTTAAATTCAAGAAATTACTCAACTGTTGAAAAACAACTTTTTCAATGATTTTACCTAGAAATGGCAGGTTTGATATGGGCCTGTAATTGTTCATTACTGAAGCATCTAGATTATTCTTTTTTAAGAGCGGTTTAATGACTGCAGTTTTCAGGGCCTGTGGAAAAATACCTGAGTGAAGAGATTTGTTTACTATATGAAGTAGATCTGAGGCCATGCAAGGAAAAACATCCTGTTGGAATAATATCAAAATGAACCTGGACATTTGTTTTTCGCCACCTGCGTTCAGCTTTTCGACACTCTCTTATATCTCTTATATGATAGACAGTTTGTCTGTCAGAAGTGTATGTTAGATATCCCTTAGTTAACATTGTAGCCTCTGTACAAACAGGCCTGTGTTATGGAGCATTGTGTGGGTGTTCTGTAATGTGTTACACAGACCCTGCAAACTGTGTCTGAACCTGCGTCCGTCCTTACAACATCTTCGTAGATTCATCTTCTTATTATAGACACATGCATTTCCAAACATTTGGACTACCTATGCTGTAAAATGTATTATCTCTTCGATTTACACATGCACGTCTGTCCGTCCTGGGAGAGGGATCCCTCCTCTGTTGCTCTCCCTGAGGTTTCTCCCATGTTCCCTTTAAACTGTGGGTTTTCTCCGGAAGTTTTTCCTTGTACGATGTGAGGGTCTAAGGACAGAGGGTCTAAGGACAGAGGGTCTAAGGACAGAGGGTCTGAGGACAGAGGGTGTCGTTTTTCTCATACTGATATTCTGAACAATCTGTGCTGTTGTATTTGCTGTAAAGTGTCTCTACTGTAGGCTATTTTTATTATATGTACAGCACTTTGGCTCCACCAAAAATCGTTTATAAATGTGCTATATAAATAAAACTTGATTTGATTTGATTTACAAGGACTACATCTCTCACTCATGCAGAAACAGGGGAAGAGCGGAACAACATGAATTCCTGTCTGACTCAGCTGAACAAATTAGTACCACTGTAGTAAAAACAGCTCACACAGAAAACACACACTGTTCTCTTTGGGTGACCTGGATGGGTGCTGTTCATCTGTGGGATGGATTTTCAGAGTCTGGGTTCAGCCATAGCAGTTAACCCTTGTATGGTATTCGGGTCTGTGGGACCCGTTTTCATTATTCAGCTAAAGAAAAATGATATGATAAATTATTTTTTCAAACCCACACTCAATGGCCTTGGCTCATTTTCTGTGAAGACCATTTATCAGAACACATTTTCAATGACCACCCACTGTACCACCCCCACTCCCCCTATACATTTACATTACATACAGGGTGTTCGAACGGGTCTAACAAAAGTGTTGAAATTGTAGGTCCTGTCCACCTGTCTGGGCCTTCTGTGTGTGTGTGTGTGTGTGTGTGTGTGTGTGTGTGTGTGTGTGTGTGTATTTTTTTCACACTCTAAGTGTTCTTCCTTCCTCCCTCTTTCTCAGCCATGTGATCGGGTGCAGACCAAGTTAAGGAGCTTGTTAGTTTAAAGTTTATTTGCAGTCCAGACGGAGCTGGAAAGAGCCAAGACAGAAT